ATACAGAATCGCCTTTCGCGAGCCCAAAGTCATGGCGTGTGGGAGGATCCTGCCCTGTAGCTAAAGCTAATTGAACTCAGGTAGCTGAAGCTACCTTTTGTGATATGAAACCCTTGCGACCAAGTCCAAAGATCCCTTGGGCCAACCTGCGTAGCTCTCGGCTCAAGTCTTTCACCTCGAATTTGAGTGTCGAAGAGGGATCCAACATCGGTGTCTTCTTCGTTTCCGGGGATCTCCAATGGGAACAAATTCCTTTTAGTGCTAAAGTAGAATATTCAAAACGTACCTTCCAGGGTCGGTGGGCAAAGTTGCTTGCAATTTGTTGCAATGCTCAGATGTCTGACTGATTCGGACAGAACACATTGCCTCTATAAACTGCGAATCAGCTCGCCTCCAAAGACTTTCGCCGAGCACGCCCAGTCGGTGCCTGCGGAATACCCCAGTTTGGCTAACCGGCCAACCCACAGCATCGTAAAGAGGAAATCTGCCGACCCCGGTTTGGACTGGGGAGGCACCAGAGGACCTGCACTTGTAATGCATTGAGCAGTGCATTTTGGACGGTATATCAGCCATGGCTGCAGATCGAATATGAAGAGTTGTTTTAGTGGGTCATTCCTTTCAACCTTTCACCATGCCACTTACCAACTGCGGACGACTCATCTTGCGGACCTTGACCGTATCGCATACCAGTCACCTGTTGAATTGAAGACACCAAATTCGGCTTTCGGCAATCAACACTGGAGCAAACTGAACAAGAGTTGACAACCCAACGTCCAGAATTCTTCTACTAGTAGTTTTGTCTTCGTTACCCCGTGCCTTGTTTCCTTGCCGATTTGGATTTCCCTCTGCCTTGCCGCCCTCCGTATTTGGTCTTCACACGTAATGCATCGATCATGCTCAGCACATTCAACTGGGTCGGCGGCATATATCCTTTCAAGGGTTTCCCCTGCCGCTGACCACCCACGTGCCATCCACATGCTGACTGATATCTTGTAATTTACAATGCTTTGTGGCCTTCCCATTTGTTGTGGCTTTGGTTAAGAGAGCGCTGAACATAGCAAAGCAGTGCTGTATCAAAAATGCTAAAAATGCTAGTTCTGCTGACAGGTTCGGCACGCACTATTGGCATGCCATTCTTCTTTGACAACAATCGGCCCATGCTCTGATACCCTGCACACCTTCCATCTTCCAGAAAAGTGTAGGAGCAATGAATCACTCTACTAGGGGCTCCTGGCCTTACTACTAGGAGCAAGGACGCTACAACAAAAGGAAGCTCTGCGACCTAGTCGAAACGCCACAACAACGACCACGACGAAGACGACGACAAGAACAACTCCCCCTCCCTTCTCCCTTTCCCTTCCTTCCTCTTTCCCCCTCGCCAGTTGTGGGCCCCTGGCTGGATTTTGGGCGTAAACCCATAAAATTTTCAGAGATTTAAAAGAATGGTGAGGTATGCCCCCCTCAACCGGGCATTACCTTCCTTTTTTCATCGATTTGTTCTTTTTGAACATACTATGTGTGACATCCTTCTTGGGTTAGTCAACCTAGATCAGACGCAGTCTTGGAAGATGAGCATATGATCATGACCAAATCGTCTCAATGCAAGCAAGAGGACTAAGCCTGCCACGCCGTTCGAAAACAAAAAGGCTGCGAATTTGCACCTCAAACGAACTGCGTCGAGCTCGTCCAGCACAACTTGCCTGAGGAGATTGCAATGAACCTTCCTCCCTTCCTTGTGTTGATGTGAAGATTTGAGAATCGCGCTTGAAAGGCAAACTAACAAGGCTGAAGGAGAAAAGCGGAGACGATCCAAAAGAGTGGAAGAACCGCTTTGACAAAAAAAAATTGCACTAACGAACAACTTCTTGGATGCGATCAAGTGGCTGTGTCAGGGAAAAATCACCCAACGCTCCCACAAACTCAACAGATCTCAACAGGTCCGACGGGTCCCACGGTTTTCTCCCCGAAAAGTCGCTCAGTTTCGTGAAATCAAGGCACCAACAGGGCTGCCCAGTATCCGATCCCAAATTTGCTCCAAGAAAACATGAAGTTGTTGGTAAATTCATTTTTGGAAGTGTTGAATTCATGTCCACCAAAATTCATCCAATGTCACTTTGTCACGAACGAATCGATGCTTTCGAGGGCACATCAAAGGACGATCGCCGAGAGCGCAACATAGGCGACACGGGCGCCTGCCAGCAAGTTCAGTGTCTGAAGCTAGATCACCCAGGCATGTCCTATGAGAACATAGGAACTGCTGGATATATATTACAATTGTGGGCCGAAACTACCGCACAATTTGAGTCCTTCGTATCCCGGTTTTCTGCCACTCAAATCGAAGACCTTTCAGATCGATGTACGGGACCCAGATGGCTTCCACGACTTCACCAGCTCTTTTGGATGAAATCTCGAAGTCGGCATCCAGTTCATATAATACTAGGACCAGGAGCAAGGACGCTACTAGGAGCAGAAACTCCGCGCACCTGATGTCGGCACACCTCGGCGTCCTGTAGCGTTTCTCATCCCTTCAGACCAGAATAACTTTTGTCAGGCATGTGACAAACGCATGACAGAACAACTGGTTTCAACTGGTGAATTCAAGGTGCTGCTATCTCTTCTGAAAATTCACCGAGGTGCCCTCTCCTTGGCAGCAAGTGCGAGGCGGAGTCCAGCAATCTCGCCTTGAGCCTATGCATCTACAAATCAACATGCTTGGACTGGAGCTCTTAGGCATTGGATGGCATGGGTCCAGGATTGAACTACCTGAGGTGACGTTGTCCTAAATTTAGCGAAACCAGCCTGTTGGTCTTGACAGGCAAACCGTTTGGCCCTTGTGTGCAGAGGCCCCTTGAATGACATAAAGAATAGGAATCCGCAACTGCACGGGCATCCACTCACGCCACTTGCTTGCCTCCCACAGAGCTTTCCGGAGTTGAGCAGCCTGAAGGTCTGATGAAACAAGGAGCTAGAATCGTTAGGAATAACGTCAGGTACTACTTGACTCTAGAGCGTAGTCAGAGGCCAATACCTCTTCCTGTACCCAAAACCTCAACTTAGTCTTCTGGAATTCCCACTACACCTTACACCTTTGTTTCATGCACAAAAAGAATTTGCTCTCCGAGCATTGCGGGGCCACTCCCCTCACGGTCCTGTCAATCTCAGAAGACCGTGCCTCGTCTTCGACCTCGAGACCTACACCAGAGGTGATGCATGAAAGCCAGCAATTCTGCCAAATGTTCTTTATCAAAGTGCCGGGTATACCACGTATGGAACCAAAGCAGAGCCAACCAATGCAACCAACAACGAGGCCTTCACCCATCTGGACAAGTGTTCAAAACCATCTGAAAGCCTTCAGCGCATGAAGTCTTCTTTGCCGCTTCAGCATCCTGTGGAGAGTGGATGGAGAGTGGAGTCCTCTGTCTTCAAACCCAATGCAGACATGATCGGAAACTAGAATATAACTAGAAAAGACCAGCCGCCCAGTGCTTACGGATACAATACCAATATGGTGCAATTGCAAAAGCCTGCTGCACCCTGAGTCTCTTTCTGTCCACATCGCAGACGTCAAAGGATGGGTGGTGAGAGAAAAATCATGCGACGCGCGATCCCAGCAATCCTCATCGGCAATCCCCATCCATGACTGTCATGGGTATTCCCCCAATATGAATCCAAATTGAGAATCCAATATCCCTGACAACATTGAACTGTGATGAGGATACACAGGTCAGCGTCCGGCAGTCCTCAAGATTGATTTCCTCCAGCACCGCCATGAGAGTTTGCGGAAGATGCAAGCTTTTGAATCCAATCGACATGTGCCACATGCTGTGCTGTGCACATATCGAGAAGTTCCAGAGAACTGCCATGGCCGGCAAGCATTCTATCCTGCACTACATTGATTCTGCATACTCACACTTCTCGGCTCTGTATGCTTTTCAAATGATTATGGACTGCGTATTGGGTCGACTTTCTCAGTCGACCACACTCAGCTGGCAGCGGTAGAGGGGTACAAAAAAGGATGACCAAGCTCTGCCTCCATTTACAATCGAACCTCAGGACGGAGCAAAATTCTAGGGATCTTCAACGAGACCAAACGAGAATGGCTCAATCCAGGAGTACGCCGCCCGTTCCTTTTCCCGCTCAGATTGCAAGGGGTCACTCTCCGACGAATTCTGCAAATGCACATGTGAAGAGGTGCCTGACCAGCAGCCCTGGTCACCAGCCAACCGGCTTCTGCAAGGGTGGCGCATATTTGCGAGTACATGATTCTTGGGTGCGATTGAAGCATGTACAGTAAATATAAAGGTTACCAACAGGATTCCCTCAGGGCTGACGAGCTTGTTCAAAGCCGCCAGAATTATCTAAAGGATTTAGCGAGCTTGGCCGACTTATTGGGGCGATCTTGCGACACCACTCCAGCCTATGTGTTTCTGCCTGGCCCTTCAGCCAATGTACCCTTCTTGGTTTCCATGATCCAACAGCGCCCTGAAAGCATCACACATTAGCTCTATCACCTACCTAGTTTTCATCTGGTGAGTAATATTTCATCCAGTTCGACTGCAGATTCCAACTCTTTTTTTGTGAATCCAGGTATCCACCATGCCGTTCCATCACGATTATATCTTTCAAGACGCCAGTAGAATCTCGTCGGATCCCGGAAGGCCACACGAATTGGCGGACGCCTATGAAAACTGACTAACAAATCGATCGATGGGGCCCACTTTGCCATTGTTCCTGGCCATCCAAGCGGCGGAAGAGTGGACATTGGTCATGAGAGGTGCTCCGTCACTACCAGGGACAGTCGTGCAAACAAGCTGCTTCTTGCATCCAACTCCAAATCACAAGGATTCCTTTTCTCTGTCTTTTTGCACAGTGAAACTGGTCTCCACACTTGCACCGGGTATGCAGTAGGTATTCGACTGCATCGGCGCTTGTCTCATGCGGCCAAGGACGTGACACCGTGAAAAGGGATGGCGTTCCTTGGCTATGGCATTCTCTTCAATCCTGGAATGCCATATGTCCTCGGCGGCAACCTCTGCAAAGGGCTGCTATGTACACAAGCTGTAGATAAGAGGCTTGCGCCATCCTTCAGGATTCAAGTCCCACACATCCAGGAAAAGGCAATAAAAAGCCCCAAGGTGCTCCGTTGCTGACTTGGTCTCCATGTTTCAGTGCACCTGTCGCCGGTTTAGAAACGTCTAGAAACCGAGAAAGCCGGGTCATTCCACGCTTCGCTGCAGAGCATCACCCCGCGACCACCGGCACCACCTCCTCCAGGTCAAGGCCCTTGGCCTGAAACCGCAAAAGGACGGCCGCTGAATTGTTGCAAAGTGAAAAAATCATGTTCAAACATGTTCAAACTAGCTAAGAAATATCTCACCAAGAGGAAGACCTAGCAAAACAGAAAAATCAACCTTTTAACATCTTCTGGGAGACATGACATGACCACAATGCAAAACCAACTCCCAGCTGACCGCCTGTGACTTCTCTCCCATTTGGATCGAGCTGGAGCCGTCCAGAGTGGGGGACTCCTCACGAGGGTTACTGTAAGTGGGAAGAAGGTAAGCAAAGGGCGATCACCCCAAAACCAAAGCATGCACATTTCTCTCTACTCTCAATCGACGCTTTGGAGGGCTGCAAATCACGTTTCAGGGTTTCATAATGTTTCATATATCTTTGAAATGTTGCTTTACGCACCCTTTTGCCCCAACTTATATGCTCCATTAGGTCATCATCCGTGATCCCGGCCTCCACACCCCGGCCGAACCTCAGCAATAGGCAGCAATGCTGAAGATCCACAAGGTCTACCGTAGAAGTTTAACTTGACTTGGAAGACGTTGATCAATCCCCCGACATACAGGAATCGGTATTTGATTCATCGGGGGATTGATCATCTTTGCGGGGCTTGGATCTCTGGACATGGCCATCTTGAGAAGCTTCAAGACAAAGAAAACAAAATTGATCAAAATGCCTCCAATCAGGTCGAAATTCGTCAGCGCACCCTGCTGTCACACGCGGTGTCCTACGAGTACTACATAAATGAAACGTAAATTAGTAAGAACTCCCACAAAGACTGGCCAGAAGAAAAAGAGGTGTGAACCCCTGAACCCCTGGCGGTTTGGGGGGTTCCCACATTTTGAGACAGGCCCCAGCGTAAAACCAGCAGTGGATCGCAGTTGGTCTCTGTTCCGCCAAGGATCATCGTGGGCTCTGGTGAGGAAGGGGAAGCATCTGGACTTGGCTCCTCGTTGGCTGCGAAATGACCCGATCACGGGTGGGGTGATGGTCGGTGATAATTACAGTATATAGTTGATTTTACTGTCAGTGTAAAGTTGGAATTGTTCTTGATCTCATCCGGGCAAAGCCAGACTGATGTGCTCGCTTGAAGACCACAGCAGAAGTGGTGCAGAAATTCTTTGCTTCACTGCGCTTAGAGGCTTAGAGTTCATTTCCCGCACAAGAAGCAGAGTGGACTTCTCTGGACCATGAATCTCTGGTTCAACATGTGCCTCTGGGTCAAAAGCGGGAGACCTGGGTTGACCACCTTGACCACCGAAAATGAACAGAATGGACTACAAAGCTTTCTGGGTTCAAGTACCCTTGAGCTTACGCCTCACGGGAGCCGGGGCCTGTTCGACAGCCTCGCGGTTGTGGGCAGGCGTCTACAGAGTGGACTTCTCCTGTCCACACCTTTTCCACTTAGGCAGATAGGTCCCTTGCACCTCCTTGAGTAGAGCCATGGATTTAGATCTGCTTTTGTGCGATTTGGAGGATCCCTGGAAGTCACGCGCCAGGGCTCTGCTCCATGGAGTGGGCGACGGCCCAGCCCTTCGCTGGGAGCACTACACGATCCTCGCAGGCACCTATTGGCATCAAGTGCATGACCTCTTTGAAGTCACCCTCACGCACTTTGTCGCTGGGCAGGGATTTGCTGAGGAGAAGCGGAGTGAGACTTCACGATGCGCACAAGCGTTCACTGAATTTGACGGCAGGCGACCCCTTTGTATGTGCAGGATATTTCTCGACTCAGGCTGATGGACTCTGGACAGGTGATCATCGTGCAACCTTCCTGAAGAGGACCATGCCAGCTCTTGACGAAGCGGTTGAATCTCTGCACATCTTCTCAGGCGCCTTCTCCGGTTGGGGGCAAGCTCTTGGCTCCTTGCCAAGCTTCTGCCCCAACTTTCGACTGGGAACACAAACATTTGTGGATGTGGATGTTGATGTCACGAATGCACTTGCCCGAAAGCATGGATGCAATGTCACGCCTGCACCAGTTCAGGCTAGCGCTGTAGTTGAAGTGTCCCTTCACAAAGTGGTAAGGGCAGAAGTTGCAGACCCTTGTCTGCTGCATGTTGTGCAGCCTGTGGCCAACTTCATTTTTACAGCATCGCCTCCTTGCATTTCATGGAGTCGAGGAGGCCTCGGGAGAGGCCTGAACTGTTTAGAAGGACCTTTGTTGACCTTTTAAAGCAATGTGCTTTTGGCCAACCCACGGTTTTGAACCTTGAGTGTGTGGATGAACTTGCTCGTCATAGTCACTTCCCGATCATCCGCCGCATCTTGCATGCCATAGGCTATAGCACATTGTGGGAAGGTACCCTCCCATACAGCACCTTCACACATACGCAGCGCACTCGATGGCTTGCTGTATATGTCAGGTCTGACCTTTTCTCGCAAGTTGATGGCCTGCCAGGCCAGTTTCGAGCATTCAGGTATGAGAAATGGACCCCCGATGCCTTTCGTTTCCTGTTGCCTCGCAGTCTTCGTGAGAAAGTTGCCATGTCGCAGTCTGTGCAAGAGCTGTATGGACTTCATTCGCTCCTGCCTCCAGCAAAGCGCATGAAATTCGCACCTGATACTCCTGTTGAAGCCATCATTCGCTCGAGATTTTTGCAGCCGCACGAACCAGTTCCCACTGTTTGTGCCTCGTACGGTTTCCAACATGAGCTACCAAGGTCATGTCTCGAGCAGAAGGGCATCTTTGCTACGCTTCGTGATGGTGATTTTGGACCTGAGTTCTTGGATCCTGCATTATTGGCTGGCCTTTTGGGTCTCCTTGAGACCTCCGTATTCTCATCCAAGCTTGATGTTCTCTATCGAAATGCGATTGCAACACCGCATGCGCTTTTCGTTCTACTTCAGGGCTTCAAGCACCTATTCCACTGAAGCATTGATGTCGTTCAGACCATCAACGATATTTGGAGCACCCGCCTCACTGGCCCCAAGACGATCATCATCGAAGAAGGCGACTTCTATGTCTTTGCTGGCATTCCAACTGTCATTGAAGGCATCTGTGTACGCAGTGAAGTTGCACCGCATCAAGACAGCCTCACCCTTTGCTGCCATCATCAGAGTGGACGATCTATGAGCCTACATGCCTGCCCGGAATGGACTGTCAATGACCTTCTGGGTTGCTTCACGTGGGATTTCAACCTTGACGGCCACATTTTTCTCGCTGCGACTGGTGAGAATCTCCCTCCTCGAGCACGACTACCACAGATCTTTGACCAGTATCCTCAGTGGACAGTCTTCGTCCAAGGCTACCCTATTCAGCTTGCTCCAAGGTCTACTCCACCGTGTCCCTTGACTCAGCCGTGCCAGTGCCTGGCTCTGAGCATCATGCTTTGCGCCAGCCTATTGACAAAAGCCAACTCGATTGCATCTTGTCGCTGACCAGGCGCTGTTTGAGGATCGACATTTTCGATTTGCTTTGGAGTATATTGAGAATCACTGCCTTGTCACTGATGGCCTTCCCACCTCTGACCTCACCATCGCATTTGGTTCTCTCCCGCGCACTATCACTCTGACTGGTATTTCTCAAGCTGCGGACAGGGTGCGCTGTGTGCAAGAGTTCTGGTCTCATGTTGATGAGGATTCCCACCAGCTGGCGTTCAAGATCACTGAGCATGCCAATACAGCTCTCATTGGACCATGCGCTGTCATCTTCAACAAGTATTCAGAGGACAGGCTTATCTTCATCTACTTCGAGAATGTTGGTTCGCCGTGTGGATTTTTGTTGGCCCCGAGCCTGGAGAATCGCTACTTTGAGATTGACTCCAAGCCTTACACGATTGCTACGCTCAATGGACAGGAGGTCCGAGATTACCCAGTTCAGATTGATCATGGAGACTTGCTCCAGCTCAAGATGACAGCTGAAATTTCGTGTGGCGGACATCATGGTGCTCGTACTGACACATTACCAGCTGGCGCCAACCTCATCCAGCGTGCAGAGTTTGCGAGCAACACAGGAGGCTGGCTTGCAACTGATGAGATGGCTTTCTTCCTGCGGCAAATCTCGGGGCTTGCGCCGGACTTTGCGGTCATCCACCCAGTTGTGCGCTGGAATCTGGGAACAGCGAATCTGGAAGAGAATGACCACCAGGAGATCATGATCGCGAACAATCGGCTCAACAATCTGCCTATTCTTTCGGGCTCGCGTTGGCTGGCCTTTGAGTGACCGCACAAGTCACGTTTGTTGGCCTCCCTGGGCCTTTGCTGCGATCAGGTCTGCAAGTTGTGGCAAGACTGTTGGACGTCACTCCTGATCGACTTCAATACAGCCATGTCCCTCTTGATGACTCCGCACACTTCTGTGGATGGGCGTTACTACACCGTTGGGCCACTGCCGCAGGTATCTTTGAACAGATGCCACACAATGCAGAACTCTATGGCTCCACCTCCATTGCAGCTCGTGCGTTGATCGATGATGTCATTGAGGATGCTATTGAGGATTGGCATCAACATGGCATTGCTCATGGCCTTTGGTACTTTGCAGCAAGCCTGCGACGTGCTTTCTTCAGCTTCCTTGCCACCACCACCATTCGTGGCAATGCCGTCACGTCTGAAGAGCTCAACGTTGCTTTCGATGATGCTGGCCACAGCCCTGATCATGCAGAGCCTCCGTTCATCCACATTGACAGCCCTGACAGCCATCTCCACCATCGCATTCAGCACTTCAACCACAACCTGGGTGGATGGGATCGGATGAACTCGACTACATCTTTAGACTATCCGATTTGTGCGACCGCAGTGCTGCTTCATGCCACCTGGAAGATGGGATCACGCCACAGGCCACATCTTTTACTTCAATGATCTGCACAGAGACTTCCGTGCTTATCAACACGTCACTTGGTTCGCGCTCGTCGACCAATGCTGGACTCAGATTGATGCAAACCGGAACGATGAGTCCATTGCGCCCTTTATGAGTTTGCCTGATGCCCCTGCCCATCTGGCTGGACCGTTGGCCACCTTTATCATGACTCAGATCGATGAAGCTCAGCTGGCATGTCAAGTCCATGTCGTTCGGTGCAACCCAGAGCCAAATATGTGTGGGTGGGTTCTGCTTCATTCTCTGTGTGAGAGGCTGCGGATTGCCATTCCGCCCCTTGCCAATGAGACACAACAAGCCATCAACCTTTCACGGTTCAGAGTCCATATCAGAAGCACTATTGAGCGATCCAGGATTGTGTGGCAGCTGTCATCGACCTTTCCGAGAATCTCCAGCTTTGCTGCCTTGGTGCGGACAAATTTCCTTCATCATCTTCTTGCTGACAGAGGAGTCCCGCAATATGCAGCTGGCGGCGGCACTGACCACAAAGAACCGGCCACTAAGCCTGAAGCAGGTGCAGCCAAAGTTGACCAACTTCAGATCGATGATCCATGGGCCCCCAAGAGTGGCAAGCAGAAGAATGCCAAAAAACTCTTTCAGACGAGATGGGAAGACCTTACGATGCCTGCTGACCACCCGCTTATCGATGAGAAGGGCATCCCAGTTCCTCAAGTCCACCGTCTTCAAGCGAGTGCCAAGAAGGCTGGGGCAGTTCTTGATTTCGTATCAGGTATTGCAGAGCTTGCTCGCATCACCCCGTGTGCCACAATGTTAGCCATTCTGCCCGGGAATGACAGGAACCAGTACATTGACCTTGGCCTCAAAGTCACAGGACCCTATGAGCTCGTCCTTGAAGATGTGCAAGCCAAGACTGCGTACAAACGATTGGTCATCCTTTGGCAGCTGCATGGCTCTGTTACCTACAAGCTCCCGGATCCAAAAGTTCAACTGACTGCAGCAGAGGTTGCTGAACTTGTCATGGATGCGGGTTCGCGTCTCTTGGGCCCGCAGATTACTGAACAGGCGAATCAACAGCACATCTCCTTCTTGAAGCATCACTTTGGTCTGATTCATCCTGACTTGATCGACAAAGTCAACATGTATGCGTTCCGTGTGGGGAGGCACCCCTCTGC